GTTGAAAAATTGGGTGCACTGAATTTTTTAAGCGATTGATATTGTTGTTTGTTTATAGTTGAGCAAAAATGATGTACAAGCTGCTAAACTGCGGGTGAAACTTCAAATAAAATGCAAATTAAAATAGAAAAAATATTTTACATTCCTGGAATCATTGCTCAACTCCGTCAAACACCACGCATAACTTTCCGAAGGGCATTCTTCAAAAACATTAAGAAGAGTGAGAAGCTAGATTGTCAAGTCCCGTCCCCAGTGGCACCGGTGGTAAGCGTGTTTACCTCTCACTCCAGCAGGCCTGGGTTCAATCCCAGTTGGCACCGCCGGGATGTTCTGAGGCATAAAATCTCTGAATCACGCCTTCCTTCGGGAAGTAAAGCCGTTGGTCCCCGGTTGAGTTGATGGGTCGATAGATAGGGTCCAGGTGTGGGAGCTGCCTCTCTGGCGTCGGTAGCATTGGTGCTCAGCAGGAAAACAAGATCGACGGAAAACAAATCGAGGAAAAAAAATAAGTCCCGTCCCGGACCAGGAGAACATGCATAAGAGATGAATAAGTCGAGGAATAAGTACATATCGAAGAAGAATATTGTATTTTTGTTGGGTCTCCCGTTTTTAAAAATTACACTTAGTGGCGCTCTTTGCATCGGAGCCGTCGGAGTAATGGCTACACATTGAGTTTTCGTTATTTCTGGGCGTGTGCCTTTCTTTTCTTCTCCACTGCTGTACACTTACGCAGTGTGAAAGGCTAGCAAACTTTGTATTTGCTTGATTCTAACTTTGTGAATTTCAGAAAATCGGCGCATTGCACGCAGTGAGTGATCTTGCTTACATACTATGTATTATTTCTAGTATGTTCTAGTCGGTTTTTAATTTGATCTTTTATTCTTTTTTGTGGATGTTCCCTTAATGCTTATCAAGGATGTTTGGTGCAGTAGAGGGGGAAATGTATTAGTAAAGAAAAATGAGAATTCTAAGCCTGAGATTATAAAAACTAGGGATGATCAAATTGAATTGGTTAGCCGTTATAGCGGAAAATCTCCGTCAAAAGAAACTCCTTATTCCAAGAGGAAACGTAATGATAATAACTCCAATAAGTAATCTTTTATAAATGTATGTGTTTTATGATTTATCAATTTGTAAACTTAATAAAATAAAATGGCTAATGGAATAAATTATTACCATGATTGTATTGATGAGTTTAATTTAAATTATCCTGAAAGTAGTGATCATTTTCTTCGTATAATACAATGGAATGTAAGAGGAATAAATAACATGTCTAAGTTTGATAGCATTATTTTTTTCTTAGATAATATAAAAATACCTATTGATGTGTTTGTTGTGGGTGAAACGTGACGGAAAGCTGATAATTGTCCTTTGTTCAGTATACCCAATTATAATTCAATATTTTCTTGTCGTGATACGTCCTCTGGTGGTCTTGCAGTCTATGTCAAGAATGGGTTGAGCTTTAATGCAAAGAAAAACATCTCTATTGATGGAATGCACTTAATTCATATTGAAATTAATATAAATGGATTGATCTACGATATCGTAGGAGTTTACAGACCTCCATTGTTCGATTTCAATAAATTTCATAATGAGCTGGAGAGTTTGTTGTCAACTCAGGGTTCACGTCCGCTTTTTATTGTCGGTGACATGAATATTCCAATAAATTTAATTAATAATAATATTGTTTGTCGTTATACAAGTTTATTGGAATCATATGATTTAATTTGTTCGAATACAAATACAACTCGCCCAGTTAGTAATAACATTTTAGACCATGTTTTTGGACGAAAAGAGGATATTGCTTGTACAAAAAATGATACAATTTATTCGGATATCAGCGATCACTTAGAAATTGTGTCATCCTTCAGAATAAGCAATCCAAAAGAACATGGCGTGTTAACAAAAAAAAAAAAACAATTGTAGATAACTACAAACTTAATCAACTCTTTACTGGTTTTTTTTTTAAAGGTTTCGTTTGCTCCGAAGATGTTAATGAATCCATTATCGCTATAAAAATGGTTTATAATGATATATTAGCACAATGCACCAAGTTGATAACTGAACGAGTGAATGTTAAAACTAAACATTGTCCTTGGCTTAACTATCATACGAGGCAACTTAAAAACAAATATTTGGAAAAAGTAAAGAAAAATCCTTATAATGATCATCTGAAAGAAATGTTGAAACATATAACTAAAAAGACTGATATTGCTAAAAAAAAAAAGATGTAAAAATGATTATTTCATTAAATTATTTGAGGACACAAGTAGTGCCAAGGTTTGGAAAAACTTAAATGGAATATTGGGAAGGAAAAAACATGCTCCAAATATTGAACTTCAATATGATGGACATTAAACATCAAATTTTTCAGAAGTTTGTGACATGTTTAACCAATTCTTCTCAAACATTGGAGCTAATCTTGCTAGTAGTATTCGAAAAAATAACTTAAGTCCTTTGAGTACAGTAAGTCACCTCATACTATTTTTCTCAAACCTACTTGCTTCTCTTACCGGAAGCCGCCATCTTGGATTTAAAAATGTAATCAGACATCGATTTCTGGTCCCTACACGTAATTCATATTCCAAAAATACCCATATTGTGGTTTCACAGTATTTCCTAGTTTTTCTCTAACCGAAAGCCACCATATTGGATTCTTTCTGGCGGCTTTCTCTAACCGAAAGCCGCCATTTTGAATTTAAAAATGGCGTCAGACATCGATTTCCGGTCCCTGCATGCTAGCCCGATTACAAAAATTCCTATATTGTGAGATATTTCACAGTATTTCTAAGTTTTTATCGCACCGGAAGCCGCTATTTTGGATTTTTAAATGGCGTCATGTGTCGATTTCCGGTCCCTAAGCGTCATCGCGATTCCAAAAATACCCATATAGTGCGGTATTTGACAGTATTTCCCAGATTTTCTCTAACCGCAAGCCACCATATTGGATTTTAAAATTGCGTCCGACATCGATTTCCGGTTCTTACATGTCACAACGATTCCAAAAATACCCATATTGTGGGGTATTTGACAGTTTGGCACTTTGAATTTTGATTATCTAAGCTTTAATTCATTTGCACATTCGGCAGCACTGCACCTCCATTTACAGCTTCTTTGCCCAACCGTTTAATCATGTTCAGCGAAAACCAATTTCGGTTTGCAAAAACTGAACCGAATCCGTGGTTGATATTCCATACACCCGACCCCAAACTCGTTTACACGTGTAAACGGTACTGATGGATTCGGTTGTGTTTTCGAAACCGAGGCCCGGTGTTGGTTTCAGTTTCGTTTACCGTGTAAACGAAATGAAAACTTTACACGGTGTGCACCATTCGTTCACACGTGTTGCGATTTTGAGGACCGAACCAGTAGGGTAGGATGGTGCAAAACGCACCCTTTAAGCAAAATCGTCAATGGCTGGCGAATGGAAGCTAAAATCAAGAAGAAAGTAATGGCGTTTGGTTCATTACCATGTTTTCTACGAAGATCGAGTGATTTGGAAATACAAAAGGATGATTTTCCATGACTTTCAAGGTATTTTCTAAATTGCTTCCAAAATGATAGCGGGGCAATACGCCTGATTCATGATGCAATATGCACCACAACATTGGGACAAGACGCACGACAACAATGGCCAAAACGCACCACAACTTTGGGGTAAAATGCACCCCATGGTAAACAAACCATAACCCCTGCAAGTAGATAATGCAAAGGGAAGCGGTATTTCAAATGATTATTTCTTTATGTTACATCAGAAATAAGGTCTCAAAATCTCAATAGAATGTTAAACTGTGATTCATCAAGTAAAATATCTAAAAAATATACGAAACGTAAATTTGTTATTTTTTTTGTGATATATGATGTTAAAAGCTTAATTTACAGTCGATGATTTTAACAACTGTGTCCTGTTTTGCACAAAATGTAATTTTTTTAAGGAATCAGCAGGTCAATACATGATTTTATGATCAAGAATTATTTGTGAAACCTCCAGTTGAAAAAAATCACAAACCGTTATCCGGAACATGCATCTGAGGAAAAGTTATCGCTGTTTTTCTAAAAGTGGGCATTTTACCCCAGGGGTGCATTATGGGCTGTTCTCCCTTACATGTGTGTACCGGTTGGTTTTCTTGTCCACCACTGCTGTTGTCTGGGTAAAACTTCTCAAAAACTGTCTATGTAGTTTATGAACAGCCCCTAACGCTTAAGACTAACGGCAGACTCATGTAAAACTATCCTTTCCTGCTAGGCCGGAGTAATCGAACAAAGTTTCATCATAATATCATATTTTGAGCTCCAGTTTTGCTCGGGAGACATGACTGCTTTCTTAACCCAGTGGGTCTGGATTCAATCCCCAGACGAAGTTCATCCTTCGGAAGAAAAGTAAAGCGGCGTTTGAACCCAGTCCATGTGTTGACAGGTTCGCCTCGCTGACGTCGGTGATTGGCAATCACTTGAGGAACAAAGGTGTTGATTTGTTATGAGAAACTAGATTTCTTTTGTTAAGCAGATTCATAGAGCCAATGCACATCATTCGTCATAATTTCTCAAGCACAAATCGTCCTCTAGTATAGGTCAGGCTGTGAAATAGAACAACTAAGGCAGCAGCAATATCTGTAGTATCGAAATATATCCAAGAATATTAATGGAGGCACCATGATACAGTTCACCATTTGTGATACCTTTTCATTTTTACCATATGTTCTAGGTTCTTCAAATCTAATAGATCAACCAAGACTGGAAAAACGTCTGTGGTATTGCAATATGTCCGAACAGATTCGTGGTAATTATGTACATCATGCATGATCGATTTGCATGTATACCAGATGTTCCAGGTTCTCCAAATTGTCCTGGATTTTATATCAAATGATCTAGTAGATCAATTACGACTGGAACAGTATATGTAATAACTAAACATGCCAAAAAGATTCCTGTATCAATATGCACAATGATCAATCACCAACTGAAACTCATGTGTGTCCCTTCGTCTTTCCTCTCTACAGGCAGTCGCAGTGCAGTAAAGCAGAAGCTCGGCATCAAAATCTACGACCAGGAACGGTGTCGAGTCAAATTTGCCACCAAGAAGGCAGAAATCACCCCGAACCAGCTGTGTGCCGGTGGAGACTTTGCCAAGGACTCGTGCCACGGAGATTCCGGTGGTCCGCTGATGAAGCTGCAGAAAGTGTGGACCTTGGAGGGAATTGTGTCCTACGGTAACCGGTGCGGCCTTGAGGATTGGCCTGGAGTGTACACACGGGTGCTAGCGTACATAGGTTGGATCCGGGCTACCATTCGAAATTGAAGATCAGCGAACCAGCGAGACCGGTGATAATCTAGTGATTTAGTTTTACGATGGGACACAAATTTGCATTTTAATGATATAGAAAGACACGATTAAAACATTCTGATTAAAATTAACGGTTTTGTTTGTCGCTTGTTGGAATTTGATTTAATTTGAAAACCTGTTTATGGTTAGCATGCCGTTGGAACGGGTTGGTGCATTTCCGATGCACAAGAATGCAGCATGGATTCCTGTATAGTCTTCTTACTGCATCCTAGAAATGCTTCAGTCAATTGAAGTCGAGTCTTTTAAGTGGTTGGATCGTTTCATGAATTGAGTTTTGTTTTTGGAGATTCGTACGTCTGCTGTTCAAAATAAATTATTGATCCAAAATGGTAAAGTTTGATAGAAGCGTGAGTGTTATGGTGTTTGCGATTATAGCCACCGTGTGGAGTCAAGAAGGTGAGTAAATAGTCAATTACTGATGTTGCGTTTTGCAAAGATAGCGAATATTGTGGAGCTCCGGAATATTGATGTTTAATATAATAGTGCATTTATTTTGATTCAGTTCCAACCTGGATCAGCTATCAATATTGGGTCTGCTTGTTGTCTGTCAAACGTCAGTATGAACGTTTGTTTTTGTAACCTGCCGCTGGTTGAGGCCAATCATGTGGGGTATGTTTTCAACCATAATCAGCACTTTTTTTTAAGGTTCTTGAGATAACACGCTACCAATCGATTGGGAAATTTGTATTGAAAGAATGTAGAGATAATGGAAGATTCTACAAATCTTTGCACTTCACTTATTTAGCAACACTAATGTCAAGTCCACAAGTTGTGCATATCTGAAAATTAGATTCTGTGTTTGATTATCTATAGCAAACACTTAAATACATCTTAATTATCGGCCATTAAGTACACTGCCAAAGAAAACAACCCAAATTTGAGTTTACTTTACTCATAAATCACATAAAATGCAGGAATTCAGCGATGAGTAAATTTGCCTCCTGTTTTTTCAGGTTTTCTCAGGATTTTTTTTCTGAATATGCGAAAAGTGAAGATTGGATTCACTCAGTCTACTTCTAGACTGAGAAAAATGTTCGCCAATTTTCCTCATTTTCCGGTAGATTTTTTTAGGTTTTCCACAGACATGAGGCAAAATTATTCATCGCTGAGTTCCTGCACTTTTGGCGATTATGAGTAAACTAACCTCAAATTTGGGTCGTTCTCATTAGCCGTGTAGATCACCAGATGTGAGCTCGATTGAACTGTATAAGCTACGGTTCAACTCCATTTAAATTAATTTTGGTAACCGACATCAGATTTCTTCATTATATTATGTTACTTATTAGAGATTTGAATAGATTTTTCTCCTTTACTTTACTTGAATCTTTGGTAGGTAGGTTCCGATTCTACACGTTTGAGTTTAAATTTTATACCTGTGATCTTGAAAATTTTACCTAGGGGATGAGTACCTAAGGGGGTTAGGTTTTTGATAAGTCTTTAGTGGGAATGACACTGATGAAGACTGCACATTGTAGTTGAAATGACAATAACTTCTATCGATGATTTCTAGAAAGCCAAGGCTCGCCAACGCAAACCAACATAACTATCGGGTAGGGGAAGTCTTCTACTTGTGGGCGTGCCTTGAATTTATAGAAATCATCGAGAGAAGTCATTGTTTACAAAAGTTGTTACGCACTAATTCCTGTTCTATCTAGCAAATCGAAATCAAATTTTGATAGAAACATCAAATCGAAAAAAAACGGCGCCGGTGGTGTAGTGGTAAGCGTGATTACCTCTCACCGCAGAAGGCCTGGGTTCAATCCCAGTCGGCACCGCCGGGATGTTCTGAGGCATAACATCTCTGATCACGCCTTCCTTCGGATGGGAAGTAAAGCCGTTGGTCCCCGGTTCATGAGCTGATGGGTCGATAGGTAGGGTCCAGGTGTGAGAGCTGCCTTCCTGGCACGTTGGTAGCATTGGTGCTCAGCACAGAAAACAAGATCGACGGAAAACAAATCAAAGGAAAAAAAAAAGGAGACATCACAACATCAAACTTAGTTTTCAATTTGATCTCAGACTTTGCTCGGGTTATTTCTTTTTTTGTTTTGATTCTGAGTTCGTTTCGCATCGTTCCATTTCGCTTTTCTCCATTCCATCAGCTAAATGTCGTTTGAGCAATAATTTGCACGGCGTATCAGTTTACCGGGAGTCTGCGATATAGTTTTTTTTTTTTTAATTTGACCTGGTTTTTTTTTATTATGTGCAATGGTTGGTGAGAAACGCGTGTTTCAAAATTTTAAAGTAGGGCAAATGGCTGTAATGTCGGCCTAAATGCCCCTAATTTGGGTCCTTACATAAGTTCAGCAATCGACTAAATTTTCAATCGCGAGCAAAACTATCCATTAGTACCATCCTAATGACGTGTTGATATAGACAAAATTGATAAACATTAGATTTTTAGCTATGGGCCCAATATTAGATCCATAGGCCAAAATTAGAGTCATTTCCCCTATAAAAAATATTACATTGCCGGCGTATCAAAAATCATCACGGCGGCGCGCCGACTCAAAATCGTCGGCGGCGCACAGTGGCACGAATATGAATAAAGACGGTCAAAAATATTTTCCACCCTTTTTCGACGTTTTAGAGACTGGCTGTCTAGGAAGAAGTTGCTCAAAATTATATCTCGCATCTTTTGAAATACACACCTGAATAATCTTTAAGCTAGTATTACACATCCAAATTCTAACTTTTTCCAGTTACGAGATAATGGTTCCATGTCTTCCACAAAGTTGCAGAGCAGTTGATTTTATGAACATTTGTTAAAGACACCAAATTTCTACATCATAACTCTGTAGAGCTATAATAGATTTTCTCTTAAGACTACCTTAATATTGGTTTTTTGAGTTAATTAGTACTTTTTTCAAATTTGATCAATTTATTATGTTCTAAAAAATTGTTGGCATCATTAAAATATACAACTTTGCTGAATACACCAATGCTTTTCATTGACATCTATGTGATATACAGCCCATCAAGCGTTTTTGTGACGTCATATTCAACGGCTCGAAAAGAGGGTGGGCGGGCCCTGGCGGGGTCTAAAACTGGTTGTATTTTGAAGATTACCTTATAAAATAGTACTTCTGAAAATTTCAGCGTTGGGTACTGAGGGGTACCTAGTCAAATCTCGATTCGAAAATGTCAATATTATATACAGCCCATCGGACGGTTTTGTGACGCCATAATGAACGGCCCGAAAATATGGGAGGCGGCCCCTGGCAGGGATTAAAACTGATTGAATATCGAAGATTACATTATAAAATAGTACTCCTGAAAAGTTCAGCGTTGGGTATTGAGTTATGAATCAATGATTTTAACCTACACGTGTTTGAACTTGCAAATTATTTAAATTATTAAGCTTAATCTGGAGATGTATTTAATGGGTTTGTTCTTAATTTGTTTGTTATTCAGTGTACCTACATTGATATGTACATTTATTGCAATATTGATACTCATATGTTGATAGTTGCAAATATTATAATGCAAGCTAATAATATTGGTATATTCCTTGCCCTTTATTATATACAATATGGACTAAAATATTCGCAATACCTATCGGTATAACTTTCAATAAAACTAGATTAAATGATAAAATTCTGACTACGGTTCCAACTTAGGACCTACCCACCCCACCCTCTTTTCAGAACATAAAACGTGACTTCACAACAGATGTTTGAAATTCCCGCGTGCACATCGCTGAACGCTGCTGCAGATGACTATTTTGTGCTTGACGTTTTGGCGATAGCAAAGAGCGATAGGGCTTATTTAATTATCTAGGTGTGATTTTTTTCACGAACAACTTGTATTGAAGTTGTGGTTCAAAATGAATTCATTCAATCTTTGTCGGATGGAATTGTTCAAAGTGTGGGCGGAGAAGATTCACGGAAATATTATCGAAGATAGTCAGGTAAGGAGTAATTAAAACATATTTTTTTCAATATTGGCATACTCAAAATATCAAAGTTCAGAATATACAGTTGATGAACAAACCCATTGATTATATTTCAAGATAATGCATTTTTTATATAGTTGTAAATTTTATCATGAGTAAGTAGCACACTCGTAGCACACATTGGTTTATAACTTGTACTAAATATATATAAACGAGATTTGACTTGGTACCCCTCAAGGCCCGCCAACCCTATTTTCGAGCCATTGAATATGACGTCACAAAAACGCATGATGGGGTACATATAACATTGACTATTTCGACTCGAGATTTGACTAGATGACCCTGGAAACCCAGCACTGAACTTTTCAGGAGTACTATTTTATAATGTAATCTTCGATATTCAATCGGTTTTAATCCCTGCCAGGGGCCGCCTCCCATATTTTCGGGCCGTTCAATATGGCGTCACAAAACCGTCCGATGGGCTGTATATAATATTGACATTTTCGAATCGAGATTTGACTAGGTACCCCTCAGTACCCAACGCTGAAATTTTCAGAAGTACTATTTTATAAGGTAATCTTCAAAATACAACCAGTTTTAGACCCCGCCAGGGCCCGCCCACCCTCTTTTCGAGCCGTTGAATATGACGTCACAAAAACGCTTGATGGGCTATATATCACATAGATGTCAATGAAAAGCATTGGTGTATTCAGCAAAGTTGTATATTTTAATGATGCCAACAATTTTTTAGAACATAATAAATTGATCAAATTTGAAAAAAGTACTAATTAACTCAAAAAACCAATATTAAGGTAGTCTTAAGAGAAAATCTATTATAGCTCTACAGAGTTATGATGTAGAAATTTGGTGTCTTTAACAAATGTTCATAAAATCAACTGCTCTGCAACTTTGTGGAAGACATGGAACCATTATCTCGTAACTGGAAAAAGTTAGAATTTGGATGTGTAATACTAGCTTAAAGATTATTCAGGTGTGTATTTCAAAAGATGTGAGATATAATTTTGAGCAACTTCTTCCTAGACAGCCAGTCTCTA